GGGTAGGGATGGGAAATGGGAGAAATAGGTGAAAGGGATTAAACTTCTGCTCATAAAATAAATAAATTATGGATATGGGGGAAAAGTATCCTATTTCAATATAAAGTATCATTTAAAATTACTAATCATAAATAGTAACAGATATATTTATCATCAGTAGAACAAAAAGGTGGTCATACCACAACATTTTAAAAGCAAAGAGTCCTCATGTAGAAAGTAAATATTCAGGGGCGCCTGGGTGGCTCAGTGGGTTAAAGCCTCTGCCTTCGGCTCAGGTCATGATCCCAGGGTCCTGGGATCGAGCCCCACATTCGGCTCCCTGCTCAAACGGGCAGCCTGCTTCTCCCTCTCCCATTCCCCCTGCTTGTGTTCCCTCTCTCGCTGTGTCTTTTTCTTTCAAATAAATAAAATATTTTTTTCTTTTTTTTAATTAAATTTTTAAAATTTTTATAAATATATAATGTATTTTTATCCCCAGGGGTACAGGTCTGTGAATCTCCAGGTTTACACACTTCACAGCACTCACCATAGCACATACCCTCCCCAATGTCCATAACCCTACCCCCCTCTCCTTTCCCCCTCCCCCCAGCAACCCTCAGTTTGTTTTGCAAGATTAAGAGCACTACCCTAAAGATACAGATGTAGTGAAAAGAAGGGCCATCTGTACCCCAGTGTTTATAGCAGCAATGGCCATGGTCACCAAACTGTGGAAAGAACCAAGATGCCCTTCAGCGGATGAATGGATAAGGAAGATGTGGTCCATATACACTATGGAATATTATGCCTCCATCAGAAAAGATGAATACCCAACTTTTGTAGCAACATGGATGGGACTGGAAGAGATTATGCTGAGTGAAATAAGTCAAGCAGAGAGAGTCAATTATCATATGGTTTCACTTATTTGTGGAGCATAACAAATAGCATGGAGGACAAGGGGAGGTGGAGAGGAGAAGGGAGTTGAGGGAAATTGGAAGGGGAGGTGAACCATGAGAGACTGTGGACTCTGAAAAACAATCTGTGGGTTTTGAAGAGGTGGAGGGTGGGAGGTTGGGGGAACCAGGTGGTGGGTATTAGAGAGAGCACAGATTGCATGGAGCACTGGGTGTGGTGAAAAAAACAATGAATACTGTTACACTGAAAAAAAAAAAGTCACTTATGGTTCGTCTAATAAAATCTTTTTTAAGAAAGATTTTATTTGGGCCGCCTGGGTGGCTCAGTGGGTTAAAGCCTCTGCCTTCGGCTCGGGTCATGATCCCGGGGTCCTGGGATCGAGCCTCACATCGGGCTCCCTGCTCAGCGGGGAGCCTGCTTCCTCCTCTCTCTCTCTGCCTGCCTCTCTGCCTACTTGTGATCTCTGTCTGTCAAATAAATAAATAAAATCTTTAAAAAAAGAAAATAACATACTTTTTTTTTTTTTTTATGACAGAGCTAGGGAGAGGGGGAACACAAGCACAGGGGAGGGGGAAAGGGAAAAGCAGGCTTCCCGCTGAGCAGGGAGCCTGATGTGGGGCTCGATCCCAGAACCCTGGTATTGTGACCTGAGCTGAAAGCAGACACTTAAAGACTGAGCCACCCAGACATCCCAGAAAATATTTCAATTAAAATTCATATTAAAATTTTTAAAAGATTACGGTCATAGGACTGTACTTTTCTAGGTTTGAAGATAAATTAATTTTTGAAAGTTGCTAAGAGGCCACCTGGGTGCTCAGTCAGTTGAGCATCTGCCTTCGGCTCATGATCTCAGGGTCCCACTTTGGGCTCCCTGCTCCTCGGGAAGCCTGCTTCTCCCTCTATCTCTAACCCCCCCACCCCCACCCCACTGCTTCTGCACACGTTCTCTCTCTTACATAAATAAATAGAATCTTTTTTTTTTTTTTTAAGTTGTTAAGAATAACCACAGTTTTCAACTTGACTTCTTAGTGCCTTACTCTGTCTTCTCTGTGTATGAGCGTTCTAAGTACCCATTTGGGTCTCTCAAGAGTCTTAGAGTTCTTACGTAATTCTCCTCTTGGGATTCTGTCCTAAACAAGCAGTCAGAAATACAGGAGAGGCTCTGTAAGTTAGCCTTCATTACGGAGGTCCTTACGGTTGTGGAAATTTGGCGGCAGTATGTTTTTAAAGAACAAGAATAAAACTGCTCGCTGAGTTCTTGGGCAGCAGTAGAGGCGTGCGCTGCTGTCCGCACTGGGATGTTTCACGTGGGCAGAGAGGTGGTTGGGGCGGAGCGCAGTGACGTGTGCTGTAAGAGTTCAGCTACACAAAACCCCGCAGTGTGGATACCTAGAATGACACACGAGCTCATGAAGATGGTCTCTGTGTGGGAGGGTGCCTAGTGTTTCAGGGGGTTTCTGGCTTTGGCTTTACTTACCCAAATGTTTACATAGTAACAGTGTTACTCCTCTCGTGGGGGGGATTTTTTTTTTTTTTTTTTTTTTTTGGTCAAAGTCTAGATTTAAGTTCTGGTTTTTTCCTCCTTTCTCTTTGTAGAAGTGGTTGTCTGTTTCTACTTTTCTTACTGTATGACCAGGCTCTTGAGGAACTCTTGAGTTCCCTGCTCCATTGATCAGCCTCCCTGTTAATGACGGAAGGGTTCCTTTTTTTCCACTCGGAGACATATATTCACTGTAGGACATTGGGAAAGCAGAAAAACTCAAAACCAGACACCACCCCAGCAGTCCCTGTACTGGTTATCCACTGGCAACAGAGATCGAATTTTGTCTACATATACATGCTTTGTTGTGTTGGGAGTTGCATGCAGTTCCCCCATTGCGATGAGAGGCAGGTAGAATAATTGCCTTGGAGTTTGTTCGTATGGCTCTTCACGTTTACATGGAAGTCGTCCTCACTTCCCTCTGGTTCTCTTTGAGTGGCTGCTGCCTTTATCAGTGGCCTGAGCACTCCTGTGACCCACACGGACATTCATGACAGCCTCCTACCTCTACTCCACAGTCAGGCTGACCTCCCACGGCTGTCACTGCAAGTCCTAGTTTAGAAAGGTTCTTCCCAGAGTGAAGTGCATGTAGATAGTGTATATAGTGGTTGGGGTTTCCTGGGAACGGAGTGGACTGCCAGGGTCAGGCTCTCTGCTCTCGGAGTTGTGGCCAAGAGTCCTGGCAGCCACGTTTTCATGTACTGGTTATGGAGGGTCATGCACATTGGGAGAAAAGGCAGAGGCAGGCTTCTCAGAACTGTCCTCCTCTTAAGAGTAACGCTTGGGCTCTTGACTGTTTGACAGAAAGTTGAAATGTGCACTTTTGCTCAGCCCTGACGTTGGTAACCAGAGTAGTCCCCTTCCAGGCTGTTCTTGGCCAGTCTGTGGGCCAGAGTTTAGCGTGTGTAGTCATAATTGCTTCATTGGACCTTTGTTAGGGGTTCTGAGTGCTGTTTCCAGACCTCCCGTCAGTATTTAAGTTCTGGCTCTGCCCCTGCTTGTGGCAGTGTCATTTGAGCCAGTCAACTGTCTGGATTGGTTTTTAGGACACATTAGGTTTTAGGACTCCTTTCAGAATATTTTGGGAGGTGTTAGGGGATTTAGTAGAAGATCATGAGCTTTGATTACATTGGTAATTTTAAAGAAAGGCAAATTCCATATTAACGCCCTGTCCTATGTTATTTCTCTTGTGCATATTTACTTATTCTAATCAGGCATCATAACCTCATCCTCTGTGGTGCTCCTCCTACCTGAACTGGGAGCGCAGTCTGTGTATGGCCTAGTGACACTGGGCAGGTTCCCCACGTGTTCTGGATCACCTGGAGAGAGGCACCTCTGCTTCATAGAGGAGCTCAACCATCCTGCAAAATTTGGTTCTGGGACTAAAACTATAGTGGCCCAGTCCACACTCCCATTTTGGTTTAAACCCTGGGCCTTTTGGGGTAGTTGGCTGGTGATTTAGACGTAAAGTTGGCTTTTTTTTTTTTTTTTTTTAAGATTTTTATTTATTCATCTGACAGGGAGAGATCACAAGTAGGCAGAGAGGCAGGCAGAGAGAGAGGGGGAAGCAGGCTCCCTGCTGAGCAGAAGCCTGATGGGGGGCTCGATGCCGGAACCCTGAGATCATGACCCGAGCCGAAGGCAGAGGCTCAACCCACCAAGCCACCCAGGTGCCCCTAAAGTTGGCATTTATTTGGGTAATAAAGGATGGTCCAAGTTCTTAGGTTATTCTGAAGCTCAGTGGGTTCCCTGCAAACAATGAATGCACCAGTTAAAGACCCATATCAGCTAGAAGTAATGGTTTGCTGCTTCTGACCCAAGCACTTTCTTAAACCTGGTGACTTGCTGGGGGGTGTGGAAGCTATTCCTCAGAACACTCATCTCTCAGGCTGACCAGGGCCGGCCTTGTTAGGGATCTAGGGCTGTAAGGAAATCCATCCTTGCTCTTGAACGTAGCATGGCAGTGAACGACAGGAAGTTCTTTGAGCTGGTCATTAGTACCTGGTGTTCTTTTGATTAAAAACTGGCTTTCGCCTCTATTCTAAAGTATATTTTTGTTGTCTTTCCCCTCATCTTTCTCTGTCAAGTGTTTTTGTTTGCTTTCTTATTATTGAGTCATAATATAAATAAAACAATCATTTTTAGAAAAAAAAAACAATGATTTTTAGCTAAACTTTATATACAGTAAAATATGTAGATTTAAATGTACGGTTCATGTGTAATCACCTCCCTATGTATCCATCACCTGCAGAAATTTCCCAGAGGACCTAGATCTTAAGTTTACATTGTGAATTTTACATAAATATCTCTTCATTGGACCACTGCCCAGATCAAGATAAAAACGTTCTCTAGCAGGGTTCAGACTGAGTGCCCACGCCCCACAGAACATGCGCTCACACGCACCCTCTTGTCTGGGTGGGGTGGGGTACCCAGTGCTGTGCTCTGCTTGCCGAGTGCTGCAGTCTGCGGTCACTTGGCTCTCAGTGGCTCTATGATGCAGCGCGTTTCCTCTGGTGTCCCCCACTCCTAGTGCTGGGCCCCCCAAGGAATAATGTTCTGTCTTCCACAGATCTGGGACACAGCAGGCCAGGAGCGGTTCCAGTCCCTTGGTGTGGCCTTCTACAGAGGCGCAGACTGCTGCGTTCTGGTGTTTGACGTTACTGCCCCCAACACATTCAAAACTCTCGATAGCTGGAGAGATGAGTTTCTCATCCAGGCCAGTCCCCGGGATCCTGAAAACTTCCCCTTCGTTGTGTTGGGAAACAAGATTGACCTCGAAAACAGACAAGTAAGTGCTGAAGATAATGGGAATCTTCCGTGTAGAGGCTTATGAATCTGCCCTCATTTAGGTCGTGGCTCCTGGGCCACCTTTTGAAAGTGGCCACTAAGTTTTAGATGACAGGTACTGTTTTAGCTTTGATTGGTAAAAAGCCATGCTGCCTAAGGACCAGTCCCCAGTATATCTGTGTGTGTGTGTGGCCCCAGAATGGGGTAGAGGGGAGGGATAACTAGCTAGTTACCTGCCCAGCCCTTGGGCCTTGCTTCCTAATCTGCTCAAGGTCTACCATTTTGCTTTCCCCTGTGGCAAAACGGGGACGGACAGTGAACGTCTGCGGTGGTATTCCCTTTGAAATTATGCCTACAGAGTACCAAGTGCATTTTGTGGAGTTGCCTGTGCTGGCTATCGTTTTGGTTGCCATGAAATAATTTGACTTCAGGCTGGTTGCAGTGTGCATTTTGGTCTTTTGGATTTAAAGGCAGAGTTCCATTTAAAGCCTGGCTCATGCACTTTTTACTTGGGAATATTTCTTGGAGTCTGAATCTTGACTTATGTAACAAGAATACTCTGGGATCAGATGACAGTGTACCCAAAAGCCCTGGCACCTAGAAGAGTTTGGGGAATGGTGGCTTTCTGGTTGGCCTGTTGCTGTTTTCTTCTCCTGTGAAAGGCACTGGCTTCTAAGGTGACTTGTGGTTTGGTGGGCTCTGTGCGAAGCCCAGATGGCTCCAGAAAAGTACCTGTGGGAACGTGAACTGTCTTCCGGTCAGCTGCCTTTTGAGGACCAGGACCCAGGAGACTCGGTTTACGTGCTCGTGCTGTCTCAGACCGGCTGTGACTTTGGGCCATTGTCTCTGCCCTGTGAGCCTCCGTTCTCCTTCTGCACTCGAAAGGAGGGAATTAGATTTTGTCCTTCTCAAGTGCTCCTGCACTTCAGGGGCCTGCCTGGACCTCCATGTGTGTAGAAGATTGCACTATGGGCTTTGAGTAAAATTGCTCTGGTTTACTTTGAAATAGCATTTCTCTTGGGATTGGGAGCATGGACTCTTATTTATAGCTTGGTTTATTTCTGGCCATTGATCTCTTTTTCTCCCTTTCCTAGGAGACAATCCTCTCGTTCTGAAAGTGGGCTGGGGTGGGGAAGGAATTCGGGTAGGAGAGGCAGGGGTGTCCATGAGAGCTGCGAATTCTGTGGCACAGGTGATGGAACCCTAGCAGTAATGGCAAGGGACTGCAAACCTTAAGACCAAGCTGCCAGGCATTTCCTGGGCTGGGACCTCTGAGGTCCCAAGAGGAACAGTTCTGTACTTCCCAGGCCAGCTAGCTCCTTTCATCGTCTGCCTAGAAGTGCAGCTAAGAGTCATAAACTATGGATTATAGAATGGGCTTAGGTGTGAGGCCTAGCTGTGCTACACAAAGCCTGCAGTGTGACCTTGGACAGGTCTGCCGCCCCCTTCCTCAAACCCCTGCCACCCTCATCCAGTCTGCTCCTTTCACCTGTGCTAGCGGCTTCTGTCAGGAGCACACGTATACCCTGTTTCCTCTTCCAGGTGGCCACAAAGCGGGCACAGGCCTGGTGCTACAGCAAAAACAACATTCCCTACTTCGAGACCAGTGCCAAGGAGGCCATCAATGTGGAGCAGGCGTTCCAGACAATTGCACGGAATGCACTTAAACAGGTGGGTCTCGCAGCTGTCTGGCTCCCTCTGGTGACTGACCATGGGCCTAGCCCCTGCCTTGCTTTCTTTTTTTTTTTTTTTTTTTTTTAAAGATTTTATTTATTTATTTGACAGAGAGAGAGAGAGAGAGAAGCAGGCTCCCTGCTGAGCAGAGAGCCCGATGTGGGACTCGATCCCAGGACCCTGAGATCATGACCTGAGCCGAAGGCAGCGGCTTAACCCACTGAGCCACCCAGGCGCCCCCTGCCTTGCTTTCTTGTTCTTAATCTTTCTTAGCTCTTTCTTCTGTGTAGCCAGAAAAACCCATGTGTTTATCTGGGAAGGTCATGAGGCCTTCCGCTAAAGCTTCCAGAAAATTCCACTTGCTTGTGAATAACCTCTGCAGTGCGAGGGCAGCGAAGATGCGCTGAGGCCACCCTTATTTGGGGACGTTCTTGTTCCCCTTGCATGCTGTCCGATGAGACCCCTAGGAGTCCTCGGTCAGACGGTTCCCTCTCCTGAAGGAGGGGACAAACCCATCATTAGATCCAGTTGGGTTTTTGTTTTGTTTTCCTCATCTCTGAGCTTGCATACCCTCCTCTGTCCGATGATACGTGCCGCAGGGTGGTTGTGAGGACGGAACGAGACGGGCGCACTCCTGAGTGGTTGTGTTTGCTCACCAGAAGTTCCTGGAATTGTGTTCCTTGAGTGAGGTTTTCTTTCTCATTTATGGTGTACTCACCTGTTCTTTCTGGCATGAGGGAGTGGAATGCTCTGTCGATTCGGCAGCTCTTCAGGGCCAGTGAGTTAAGACAGATCATGAGGCACCATCCGTGCTCTGTGGTGTCAGACTCAGGAGCGGGTGAGTGTCAGAGGTGAGGCGCACGCCAGAAGATGCGGAGAGCATTTGACGAGGCACATGGTGGCTGTAAAGGGCAAGGCGGGTTCTGCGAGCTCCAGGAAGCTGGGCTTATAGAAAGCACCGGTTCTCAGCAGGCCAGGGCATCTGGACCTCTGGGCGGGGAGCTAACTTGGTTGTTCTAAGGGCTGGACTGAGTGTTCTATGATGAAAGGGATTGATGCACCCAAAACACTCGGAGCCCCTGCTGAGCGCCCCTGATGCTGACAGGATGCAGGCCTGAGGGGTTTGCCACCTGCTCTCCCCCTTCCTTTAACCCACCTTCACACCTAGGTCAGGAACGGAATATGCTTTTCCTCCTGTTGCTACGCTTGCTTGCAAATCGAAACAGGTCTGAGGAGTTGTTTCCACCAACTCCCTGTTGACTGGCATCACTGTCAGTTTTTCTCTCTGAATATTGCTGTCCTGGTAGCCTTATTAGAATGCTTTTTTGTTCCTACACACTAGCCTCTCAGAAGTAAGATCATTAGATTGAAAGGTATATGTGCTTTCAAGATTTTATTTATTTATTTGTCAGAGTGAGCACAGGCAGACAGAGAGGCAGGCAGAGGCAGACGGAGAAGCAGGCTCCTGCTGAGCAAGGAGACCAATGTGGGACTCGATCCCAGGACACTGAGATCATGACCCGAGCCGAAGGCAGCGGCTTAACCCACTGAGCCACCCAGGCGTCCCGAAAGGTATATGTGCTTTCAAAAGATGGTGCCAGATTGCTTTCCTCGAGGACGGTAGTACTTCAGTCCTTTCTCTTCCCTGCTCAGCAGCAAGTGGCCAGCGCCATCTGGAACTCTGCTGCCACGCTGCCTGTCACTGGGCCCCTGCTGCACGCCGTGAGCACCTGGCACTCGCCCGGGTGCCCATCACTCCTGTGAGCGAATTAACTTGACCGGTATTGCAAGTGACTTTTCCAACTCTGTTGTCTCCCTTGGGGCATAGAAAAAAGTAATTTTTGTTAGGTATGTCATTTTAAATGTCTGGATTTCCTGTGTCTAGATCAGTTATTGTCTAATTCAATTGAACTTATTTTGGCTTATGGCAGGAAATTAGGGACTCAGGTTTTTCTTTTAGAGGGATAGTCAGTTGTTTCAAATATTAGTAGCAGATTGTTACATAAACCACTTTCCCCCGTGGATTGAGGCATTACCTTTGTATACTAAATGCTTGTGTATATTGGGATCCTTTTCTGGTCTGCCCAGTTAGTTGGGCAGCGTGCATGTTCCTTGCCTGGACCGTTGGGATTTGACTGCCTTTACGGTGTAGTATCCCCTCTGCTAGGCAAGTCTCCCTCCACTGACAGGTGAGTAGTGACTGACAAAAAAACATTTTTGGGTTTTTTTTTTCTTGGCTATTTTGGTGCATTTTCCATTTAGACTGAGAATTTTATTGCAGTTCCACCTTCTTTCCTCACCCTTCCCAAATACAAAACCTTATTGAGATTCTGTTTGTGATTCCGCATTAGCGCTGTCTTACTAGTGTGCTCTGGGTACTGTCACAAAGTATTGCAGACTGGGTAGCAGAACAGCAGGCTTTATCTGCCCTCAGTTCTGGAGGCCAGAAGCTTAAAATCAAGGTGCCAGCAAATTCAGTTTCTGCAGAGGGCTCTCGCACCGGTTTTTGCAGACTGCCGTCTTTCTCCTTGTGTCCTCTGGTGTGTGGCTTTTCCTCTGTGCTGACAGCGAGAGCAAGCATGAGCAAGTGGGGAAACACACACACACGCACACACTCCCCGTGTCTCTTTTTAAAAGGACACACTCATCCTGTCAAATCAGGACCCCACCCTTAATGAACTCATTTCACCTTCATTACTTTCTTAATCGTAATACTAGCACCCTGGGGATTAGGATTTCAACGTAGAAATTTTGGAGAGACATAAACCTTCTGTCCATAACAGCGTTATCTTAGGTCTTGTGTGCTTGTCCTTCAATAAAACTGTACCTTTTTTTTTTTTTTTTTTAAAGATTTTATTTATTTATTTGACAGAGAGATCACAAGTAGACAGAGAGGCAGGCAGAGAGAGAGAGAGGAGGAAGCAGGCTCCCTGCCGAGCAGAGAGCCCGATGCGGGACTCGATCCCAGGACTCTGAGATCATGACCTGAGCCGAAGGCAGTGGCTTAACCCACTGAGCCACCCAGGCGCCCAAAACTGTACCATTTTTCACATCCTTTGCCTTTCCTATTAAATATTCTCCTAGGTGCTGGTGGGAATGTGAAATGATGCACCCACTTTGGAAAGCAGTCTGGCAGTTCCTCAAAAAGTTAAACGTGTCACCCTGTGACCCAGCAGTTCCACTCCTAGGTGCATACCCAGGAGAAACAAAAACCCGTCCACACAAAGTCTCATACATGAGTATTCGTAATAGCATTACTCATAATAGCCAAAAGGCAGAAACAAACAAATGTCCATCAAATGAAATATCCAAGATAGGCCAGTCTATTAAGACAGAAGATGTCAGTGGTTGCCAAGACTTGAGAGTGTCTGGGGAGTGACTGTCAATAGGGGCAGGGTTTCCATGGGGTGAAGAAAATCTGTGGAATTAGTGGTGATAGTTGTTCAACTTTGTGAATACGCTAAAAACCACTGAATTGTACGCTCCGTGGTCTGTCTCAGTAGACCTTCTTCCTGTGTGTATTCCTTGGAGGTTTTTACTTTTATAGAACAGTTCCTGTCACTTAGGTTCTCAGTGTTTAAGTGACAAATTGTTTCTTATACCAGGAAGTGGACAGCTGCTGTGCACTGGACCCATGTTATTTCAGCAAAAAGTCACACTAAACTGACCACAGTCCATCTCCTGTGACCTCTCACCGTGGTTGCTGATACAATTCATCCATAGCTGGTTTCTGAGTACGCGGCATTTAGAGGCAAAACCCTCCTAAGCCTTTGGAAGAAAAGGAAAATGGAGGGGTGCCTGGGTGGCTCAGTCATTAAGCGTCTGCCTTCAGCTCAGGTCATGATCTCAGGGTCCTGGGATCGACCCCACAGCGGGCTCCCTGCTCAGCAGGAAGCCTGCTTCTCCCACTCCTCCTACTTGTGTTCCCTCTTGCTCGCTGTCTTTCTCTGTCAAATAAATAAAGAGAAGAAGAAAAAGAAAGTGGACCGTTAGTCCAGAAAAATGAATGGCAAACAGCGGACTAGAGGAATGTTTGGGGACTGAGAGGGCAGGTAGCACTCATGCTCCAGCCCACACTTGCCTTGTGGAAGTGCTGAGAGCTGCCAAAATCCAGCCCATGTTGAAGTCTTTCGGAGTGTTGGCGGTGGTACGCTACGGAGCGCTCAGCGTCTGTGAGCTGGCTTTGGTCCCCAAGCCACCAGATTTCCATCGTGACAGTGGAGACCGTGAGTCAGCTGTGTCCTGACTGCTCAGCGCCGATCGCTGCTCTTCCCGCTCGGTTTCTCTCTTCCCATTGTCACAGGGTTGTCATAAAACCTGTCTTGCCCTTGCTCGGCCCTTGAGAGTTGAGCACCTTCTGCCAGAGCCCTCCCTTCACCGCTACGTCTGTGCCCCAGCCCCCTGCCCACCGAGAGCCATGGGAGAGCACCACTGAGGCTGCCGCAGAGCTCAGAGCTTCCCCATACCCTCAATAACAGACCTCTCTCCCTCTCTCTCCCTGTGCAGGAAACAGAGGTGGAGCTGTACAATGAATTCCCTGAGCCCATCAAACTGGACAAGAACGACCGGGCCAAGGCCTCGGCGGAGAGCTGCAGCTGCTGAAGGGGCAGTGAGAGCAGAGCGCAGAGTCCTTCACAAACAAAGAACACACTTAGGCCTTCCAACACAAGCCCCCTCTCCTCTTCCAAACAGAACATAAAGTCATCTCTCGAATCCAGCTGCCAAAAGAAACCCCATCAAACACACCCTTACACACACACACACACACACACACACACAGCCCTGACACAAGCAGACAGACTCCAGCCCAGGCCTGTGATGACTCCATCGGGGTCTGCCCACCCACCACATCAGCCCTCGTATGGCAGCGGGACAGGCAAGCCGTAGAAATCGTTCTGGGGTGGAGTCCGCATCGGAAGCTTATTCTTTTCGTCCACTGGGGAGAGAGAACTGTTTACAGTTAATCTGTGTCTAATTAGTTATCTGATTTTTTTAACGGTCTTGTGGTCTTTTTACCCCCCACCCCAACCCCCCTCCTGTGAAGGCTACCACTTGGGAAGGCTGGTGCCCCATGCTTCATTACAGGCTCACACCCAGTCTGATCAGACTGAGTTTTGTATGTATCTGTTAATGCTTGTTACTTTTAACTAATCAGATCTTTTTACAGTATCCATTTATTATGTAATGCTTCTTAGAAAAGAATCTTATAGTACATGTTAATATATGCAACCAATTAAAAATGTATAAATTAGTGTAAGAAATTCTTGGATTATGTGTTTAAGTCCTGTAATGCAGGCATGTAGGATGGAGGGTTGAACCCTGTCTGGATTGCAGAGTGTTAGCTACTCAGAATTCAGAAATCCAGCTAGAGGCAGTATTCTGTACAGTAGACACAAGAATTATGTACGCCTTTTATCAAAGACTTAAGAGCCAAAAAGCTTTTCATCTCTCCAGGGGGAAAACTGTCTAGTTCCCTTCTGTGTCTAAATTTTCCAAAAGGTTGATTTGCATAATACAGTGGTGTGTGCAATGGATAAATGGCCGTTGTTTCAGAAATTAAAATTCTCATTTTTTCCTCCCCCTGTGTGCCCGCCCCCCCCACACTGCTCCATACTTGGAAACTCCCCTATTAGGTCAGCATCCTACTGATAAGAGGAAAAGGAAAATCCTAACAGATCTGTCCTAGTGATTTTACCTTTGTTCTAGAAGGCACTCCTTTCAGGGTTGTGGTATCCTTAGGTTAGCAAACCTTTTTCTCCTTTTCCCCACCACCTCCCAGTATTGCCCACTATTAATTAACCTGTTTCTTTGGTATGGAACCCTGGCAGTTCTGCCCCCTCCCTAGGATCTGCCCCTGCATTGTAGCTTGCTTAATGGAGCACTTCCCCTTTTTCCAAAGGTCTACATTCTAGGGTGTGGGCCAAGTTCTTCTGTAAAGAGATGAACGTGATGCCAATAAAATGTAACAAGAACAAAGATCATCTGCCTTTGCCCTGTCTTTTTTCCTTCTTCTGGACCCTTGGCTCAGTAGAGACCATGTTAGCTAATCCCGGCCAGTGCTTTATCAAGCCGAAGAGCCCTCCGTAACTGGGCGCATGGGGTGTCTTTGAGGCAGAAAGGCCGTGCCACATCCAGCCCTGCAGTGCCTTTCCCTAGTTTTTGGTTTTGGTTTTTTGATCACAGTGATGGGATGTGGGGACTCTGAATGGAGACTAATTGTGAACTGCGTATGAACGCTAACTTAGCCTTCGTGCTCTTCTGTTTTATAGTTGCTGACACTTAGATACCATAGTTCTGGATTTCTGATTTCTCACAGAAGAGGAGGGGTTGGCAATAGGGCGCCCTGCATCCCAGTATTACAGCTGGCACTGAATGTATGCCACCTAGAACCAAATTTATAGACTAGTAGTGCTTCAGTCAGAGGTATGGCGTAGGTATTGCTTCTAGAGATGCCCCATGACTAAGCTCTTGCATTCTACTTCACTCCACTTTTCTACATTTCCACTTCTCCGGTTCCTCAGTGGGTTCCTTTCCTCATGCCTGCTCTTGGCTCCCATTTGTGTGTTACCAGTAGCATTTTTAGAAGCTCCCAACTGGGGTGCCTGGGTGGCTCAGTTGGTAAAGCGCCCTACTTGATTTCAGCTCATGTCATGATCTCATGGTTCGTGAGATCAAGCCCTACATCAGGCTGTGCGCTTGGCAGAAGTCAGCTTGGACATTCTCTTCCTCTGTCCCTCCCTCCCTCTCTCTCTCTCTCTGTCTCTTTCTCTCTCGCTCGCTGTTGCTCTCAAATAAATCTTTAAACAAAAACAGAAGCTCACAATTACAGTTCCACCATGGCTAGTACCTCATGGCCTAGATCTCTGGTTTATGGACATGTGTGACCCTCACTTCTACAAACCAAACTCCCTTTTCCACGATCATAATCTCTGGTCCTAACCTTAAATCTGACATGGAAGTGGACCTTGACCTCTGATGACAACCATCCGTCTAAAACTGATAACCATCCTGACGCTGAGATAACCACGACAGTAAGAGCCGATGGCTAAGGGGTGCCTGGGTGGCTCAGCTGACTGCTGAGTGTCCAGCGCTTGGTTTCGCCTTAGATGGGGATCTCCAGATCCTGGGATAGATCCCTGAGTCGGCCTCCCTGCTCAGCAGGGAGCCTGCTTCTCCCTCTCCCTCTGCTGCTCTCTCCCTGCTACGTGTGTGCTCTTACGCTTGCTCTCTCAAATATTTTTAAAAAGTGTATTATAAATGGAGACAAACGTGTTGCTGTTTCCATTCATCTCAGTTTGCACTAACAAGTTACTTTTGAGAAGAATGGGAATGAATTGTTGCACTAATACAGATTTGTTTAAATAGTATCCCTTAGGGACGCCTGGGTGGCTCATCGGTTAAGTTGACTGCCTTCAGCTCAGGTCATGATCCCGAGGTCCTGGGATCAAGTCCTGCCTTGAGCTTCCCACTCATTGGGGAGCCTGCTTCTCTCTCTGCCTGTTCTGCCTGCTGCTCCCCCTGCTTGTGTTCCCTCTCTCCGATGAAATCCTAGAATTTGATCAGTTGATCACATTTGAATCAATCGATGTGGAAAAAGCATTTGAGAAATATTCAAGAATTGAAGAAATAATGGAAAAAATATTTATACATTATACATCTGACAATGGATTAATATCCTATATAGATACATATATAGAGAGAGAGAGTTCGTATATAACTCAATAGCAAAAAAAATTAAAAATGGGCAGAGGAGCTGAATAGACTTTTTCCAAAGTTAGATGACTATTAGCTATGTGAAAAGGTGCTCACCATCACTCATCATCAGGGAAATGCAAATCAAAACCACAGTGAGATACCACCAGTCAGAATGGCTAAAACCAAAAAGCTGAGAAATAACAAGTGTTGGTGAGGATGTGGAGAAACAGGAACCCTTGGGAGAACTAGGGAGAACAGTGGGGAGGTTCCTCAAAAAATTAAAAAACAGAACTGCCACACGATCTAGCAGTCCCACTTCTGGGTATTTATCCAAAGGAAATGAAAATACAAGGTCAAAAGACATGCACCCCAACGTTCACTGCAGCAGCATTTATGATCGTCCAGACATGGAAGCAACCTAAGTGTCCATCGATGGATAAATGGATAGGATGTGGTCCGTGTGTGTGTGTGTGTGCGTGCACACAGCTGCAAAAAGGGAAATTTTGTCATTCATGACAGCGTAGGTAGACCTTGAAGGCATTGTGCTAAGTATAAGTCAGAAGAAGACAATATCATATGATCTCACTTACATGTTGAATCTTAAAAACAAAACAACAACAAAACAAACCTAAAACTGAACAGATTGGTGGTTGGCAGAGGCAGACAGTGGGTGAAATGAGTGAAGGTGGTCAAAGGTATGTTCTTCCAGTTAGAAGCCTGTGATGTAACTGATGGACAGCATGGTGACTGTGGCTAATACTGTATTACACATTTGAAGTTTGCAAAAGAGTAAATCTTAAAAGTTTTCATCACAGGGCACCTGGGTCACTCGGTTGGTTGAACGTCTGCCTTCGACTCAGGTCATGATTCCAGGGTCCTGGGATCGAGCACCCTATGGGGCTCCCTGCTCAGCAGGGAGTCTGCTTGTCCCTCTCCCTCTGCCCTTCCTCCCCGCTCCCCCAACACAAGAAAAAAATTTATAATTGTGTCAATGGATGTTAACTAGATTTACTGTGATCATTTTGCAGTATATACAAATACCAAACGTTATCTTGTACACCTGAAATTGATACAACATGTCAAACATGGCTCAAAAAAAAAAAGTTCAACACCATACCATTTCATGATAAGAACACTGAATAAACTAGCCTTGATGGAAACTTATTTTTACATAACAAGGGCCATATACAAAAAACCCAACAGCAAACATCATACTCAGTGGTGAAAGCCTTAAAGCTTTTTCCCTAAAATTAGGAACAAAACAAGGATGCTCACTTTATTCAACATAGTACTGGAGGTTCTATGTAGAATAATTAGGCAAGAAAAAGAAGTAAAAGACTTCCTCAAAAAAAGGATTTTATTATTTATTTGACACAGAGCGATCACAAGCAGAGGGAATGGCAGGGGGAAAGGGAGAAGCAGGCTTCTGGCTGAGCAGGGAGCCCAAAATGGGGCTCAGTCCCAGGACTCTGGGATCATGACCTGAGCCGAAGGCAGTGGCTTACCTGACTGAGCCACCCAGGCACCCCAGTAAGAAATATTAAAAATAAACTTAACCAGGTAGGTAAAAGAATTATACACTGAAAAGTATAGAACATTGCTGATAGAAATTAAAGGCCTAAATAAATGGGAAGACATCCCATCTTCATGGATTGGAAGCCTTAATATTAAGGCGACAGTACTTTACCCAAAACCATACAGATTCAATGCGGTCTTTATCAAAATCTTAGGATGCTGGATGGCTCAATAACAAAACAATGCAATTCTGGGGTGCCTGCAGGGGTGGCTCAGTGGGTTAAGCCTCTGCCTTCTGCTCAGGTCATGATCTCAAGGTCCTGGGATCAAGCCCCGCATTGGGCTCTCCGCTCACTGGGGAGCCTGCTTCCCCCTCTCTTTGCCTGCCTCTCTGCCTACTTGTGATTTCTCTTTGTCAAATAAATGAATAAAATCTTTAAAAAAATGCAATTCAAAAATGTCTGAATGACATTTCTCCAAAAATAAACAGATGGCCAATAAGCACATGAGAGAGAAGTTCAATGTCATTAGTCACTTGGGGAGTGCAAATCCAAAGCACCACACATCCACAAGTATAGCTATTACACAAAATAAAAAATAAGGGCCCACAGTGATGTGGAGAAGCTGAAACGCTTGTGCATGCTGGAGGGAATGTAAAATGGTGCAGCTGCTGTGGAAAATACTTAGCCATTGTTCAAAGACTTAACGTGGTTGAAAGATAAATGGAGAATTACCATATGACCCAGCAATTCCACTACTAGATGCAGACCCCAAATAATTGAAAGCTGGGACTCTGAGAGAGACACTCCTACATCATACTCCCAGCAGCATTATTCACAAGAGTCAAAGACTGGTAACAATCCAAGTGCCCTCAGCGGATGAATGAATAAACAAAATGAGATACTTCTACTCCTTTTCATGGCTGAGTAGTATTCTGTGGAATGTATAATGGACTACTATTCAGGCATAAAAAGGAATAAAGTTCTGAATCACGCCATGACATGGGTGCTCCTTGAAACTTGAAAACATTATGCTAAATAAAAGAAGCTGAGGGGCACCTGGGTGGCTCAGTGGGTTAAAAACTCTGCCTTCAACTCAGGTCATGATCCTGGGGTCCTGGGATCCAGACCCGCATTGGGCTCTTTGCTCGGCGGGGAGCCTGCCTCCCCCTCTCTCTGTGCCTGCCTTTCTGCCTACTTGTGATTTCTGTCTGTCAAATAAATTTTAAAGAAAGAAAGGAAAGAGAGAGAGAGAAGAAAGAAGAAGGAAGGAAGGAAGGAAGAAAGAGAAAGAAAGAAAGAAGAAAGAAAGAAAGAAAGAAAAAGAAAAAGAAAGAAAGAAAGAAGAAGAAAGAAAGAAAGAAAAGAAAGAAAGAAAGAAAGAAAGAAAGAAAGAAAGAAAGAAAGAAAAGAAAGAAAAAGAAAGAAAGAAAGGAAGAAAGAGAAAGAAAGAAGAAAAAAGAAAAGCTGAAAGTAGAAGTTGGGGGCAGGGGTAGTTCAGGGCAGGTGAGCTTGGGCTGTCACACAATTCTGCCCAGAGCCCAACACCCTGGCGTTTATTTCAGACCACAGTTCTTGTTTAATGAGTGGAAAACCCCAGCCCGGGATTCTGTCCCAAGAGCCACATGGGAACGGTTAGTGACAGTGTATAGTTCTTCATTCAGGTGGAGCCTGCAGTCCAAAGTCCCCATCTGTTGAGGTCTGCTGATACAGACTGAATTCAGTCTGCTGATTCCTTTCTCCAGTGCGAGTTCCCGTGGTGGAAGCTGGTTGTGATACACACAAGGGCCTTCTCTTGGCCAGGAAGCCATGACATCCCTTGGTTACTGTTGAAATATTAACTTGCATGTTTGTCTTTTTTTTTTTCCTTTTTTTTCTTTTTTTTTTTTTTTTTGTAAATAAAGACTATGGCTAAGGGGAACCTCAGAAGCAGCCACAAAATTGGTGGGCACAGCTTGAACATTTAAAAGTTGTTAGAGGGGCACCTGGGTGCCTCAGTGGGTTAAAGCCTCTGCCTTCGGCTCAGGTCATGGTCTTGGGGTCCTAGGATCGAGTCCCACATCGGGCTCTCTGATCAGCGGGGAGCCGGCTTCCCCCTCTCTGCCTGCCTCTCTGCCTGCTTGTGATCTCTCTGTCAAATACATAAATCTTAAAAAATAAAAATAAAAGTTGTTAGAATGCTCACCACCTAACCCAAAGCTTCCCATGTTAGGATATGTTATTGGTCATGGAACAGAATAGATGGACACTGGGTCTCCTGCCAACCTCAAGAAAATTTCTGCACAACAAGGTACACTATAAACCCCCACACAATGCCCAACTCCATGACACATCCCTCAGGCTCTAAGGACCCAAAAAGGCTTAGCTAAAAGAAATTGAATCTTTTAAATTTAAATAGGTAAGTGTGACAGAATCTATGGATATTTCCAAACATGATGAAATCTAGCAACCTAGAATTACAATGGTCTCTTTGAGAAACATTTGTATTAGTCAAGATCATCTAAAAGCAAGGACTCCTGGGGCACCTGGGTGGCCCGGTTGGTTAAGCATCTGACCCTTGATTTCAGCTGGAGTCCCAATCACAGGGTCATGAGAGAGCCCCACATCAGGCTTCACACTGGGCGTGGAGCTTTCTCCCTGCCCCCAACCCCATCCCCACTTGCACGCTCAAGCTGTCAAGAGAAAGAAAAGAAAGGAAAGAAGGAAGGGAAGGGAAGGGAGGGAGAGAGGGAGGGAAGGAAGAAGGAAGGAAGGAACGAAGGAAGGAAGAGGGAGGGAGGAAAGGAGATGGGAGGAAGGGGGGGAAGGAGGAGGAGGGAGGGAGGACGGAAAGAGGAAAGAAAGAAAGAAAAGTTGGGAGCAGGGGGAATAGAGAGTTAATATTTGGTTGGTTGGTGCAGTTGGTACAGTTTCTATTTAGGGCGATGGAAACACTCTGGAAATAGTGATGACGTTTGCACAATATTGTGAATATACTTGATGAACTGAACTGTACACTAAGAATGATTAAAATGATAAATTTTATGTTATGTGTATTTTATTTAAAAAAGGACACCGGTTAATGTGAAAAGGTCAAAGGCAATTAGTACCTAAAGTCCACAAACCTGGAAATAGGGCTTAGCCTCACAGAAACCCCACGTCTCCCCACAAAGGCCACCTCTTTGGTATCAGCCCTCGCTCCCCACTGCAGCGGAGGCCGGCTGAGAGTACTGGAAAGTCACAGGGCATGCGAGACAAAGGGATGTAAACTCAGCTCTCAGACCAGGTTGGCAGCTTTCGAATTCTGAGTTCTTGTAGCCTTCTGCTTGCAACTCCCTTGTATGAAGAGAGGGTAAGCATTTTGCCGTGTTGGGGAGGAGTGAGGAGGGATGATTTCTTTGGCCATGATGCTTTAAGAGAGCCTGTGGGCCACACCTGCCAGGTTTGCTCCTGGAAGGAGGTATAAGAAGGGAAAAGAGAAGCCCTTTGGGGGCGCCTGGGTGGCTCAGTTGTTAAGCGTCTGCCTTCAGCTCAGGTCATGATCAAGCCCCACATGGGGCTCTCTGCTCCGTGGGAAGCCTGCTTCTCCCTCTCCCACTCCCCCTGCTTGTGTTCCCTCTCTTGCTGTGTCTCTGTCAAATAAAAATAAAAATTAAAAAATCCAAAAAAAAAAAAAAAAAAGAGAGAGAGAGAGAGAGAGAAGGCCTTTGGGACACTCTTCTCTCCCCTGTGAAGTGGTCCAGGGAAGTGAGATTCCCCGCCCCCATGCTTCCCTTTTATCCCAGCTTCAGATTGCTCTCTACTCTTGGGAGTGGCTCCCACAGCCATTCCAGAAGCTGGGCTGCACAGAAACCTGCCCCTTCGACCACTGGCTGCCCCTGGAGTTCATCTCCTTCTCTTGGGTTCCAGACCTTGAGCTGCCAAGACAATATTTACACATGTCCCCAAATAGTCATTCTCTCCCTCGGTGATGCTTAGACTTGTCCTGAGAGCTAGAACTTGAAAACATCGTCATGCCAGGGCCCTACCTTCAGCGCTTCGGATTCAATTGGTCCGAGAGAAGGCACTGGTATTTTTTTAAAAGTGTACCAGGTGATCTGAGTGTGTAGTTGAGAACCATACTTCCGGGTGGAACCTTGAGCCAAAAGCCTCTGAACTAGGAAAGGAGCCGGGAGTCACTGTAGTCCAGCATTGCTGGCCCTCTAAGATGACAGGTTGGCAAGAAACTGGTATTAGTGGGCACAGAGGTTTGTTTCTATTCCTGCTTTGTGCATTTCTATGTAGGAAAAGAAAAACCCCTTTTCCTTTCTTAATCAAGGCCTGAAGCCCACACAGCTGTTCTTCACATGCCCTTATTGTATGCACATGAATATGGTCACGGAGGAAACTGTGACTATCCCAGCCCTTCGGGAAGCCTTGCCTGGATAGGAAGGAGGCACAGACTCCCCAGAACAATGTGGTCCCTGATCACTGGTGTGCCCAAGTAGGATGCTGGGTTACTGACAAAGGCAGGTTGTTATAAGTAGCACATAAGCCAGCCAGAAAGGGGCATGGGCCCTTTCTGAATTAGCTGCAGCTTTTTTGAGCTTAGTCTGGGCATCTCACAGCTGGGTGTGAGCCAGGTACTGAGACCCACGGAGTGTGGTGTTCTATGTGTGATTATGTCTCCGGTGATTTTATGATCAGGCAAGTCTGGGAAGCACTGGTCCCCAGCGTTCATTATAACCACTGCGGCTGGCCACACAGATTCTAAAGGTGGAGACGCCGCCTTATTGCACAGGCCTTGAAGACAGCATCAGGAATGGTGCCTTCAGCCTGTGGTCAAGGGGGATCAGCTAAAAGGTCATTCTGGAGGCTAGCTTTGCTAGCTGGCGCTGCATTAAGTCAAGTGTACACCAGCTTTCATTTCACCATGTCACCCTAGAAGTCACCTTTCAGGTCAGCCTGCCCCACCCAGTATGTATATTTTTAACCCATGGGTTCCTCTGCTGGGACTCTAGACTGCTAAAAATCTATTCTGGGGGTGTTCCCAGACCAGCCGTTTGTCTGGGCAGGTTTAGATGTGGCCTAGCCTGAAGTGGGAGAGACCAGTGGGTGCTCGAATATTCTCTCAGCCTCCCAGTTCAAGATCAAAGACAGTGTCAGCTTTGCAGAGCTTCTGTGATAGCCTGGCTAAGATTCGTTGCGCATTGGCAGTCCCCAAAGCGGTGTCTTTGCCGGGGCTTTCCTGGGGGAGCAGAGGGGAGATAGGCCCTTTACACAACACCCTTTCAGAACCTCCACTGCAGCCCCATGGGGGAGGGGCGGGGCAAGTTATCTGGGTGATCTGTGCCCAGGACTGCAAACTCCTGGAGTCTGGCTTCGACTGCACCCCAGGGAAACATCAGCTACGTTTCAGGAGCACCGCGCTGCAGCGAGGTTCTAATGCAGGCCCTGGATTGCTAGTAGCAATACCCAAGGGTCTAAACTCCCTAGGCTTCGGTTAATTCCATTCCCAAGGCTGACGATCCTCATCGAGCAAAAGAATCACCCTGATAAAGGAGGGATTCCCATGACCCTCCCTGAACCTACTGCCTGACTCTTCAGAGAAGGGCGTCTGAGAGTCTGCATGTTAATAAGGGTCTGGGAGTCCCTGGCTCACGGCGTCCACAGCAGCGCGAGGAGTAGGCGGGAGCAGCCACGCTACCGCCGGTGGCAGGAGCGCGCCGGGAAGCTTGCTGGTCTCCATGGAGACGAGGGCGGGGCCGGGCCGCCGCGGCGGTGACGTCAGGGGCGGGGCGCGGGCCCAACGCCTAACGGCCGCCCAGAACGCAGTGCGGGGGCTGCATCTTCGCCGCCGCCGCTGCGCGGGTCTGACCTCTAGCAGCGGTGGGAGCGGCGGGGGCGGCGGGAGCGGCGGGGGCGGCGGGGGCGGCGGGGGCGGCGGGGGCGGCCCGGGAAGGGAGGGAAGGGCGGCCGCAAGCAAACGCAGGGCCCCGCGGCAGCGCGTGGGCAGAGTGCCCGGGACCCCCGTGAAACGGAGGGGCTGGGGGGCGGGGGATGCCACTCCACTCCCGCTCTGGAGAGGCCCTGACTGAGGCCGCTCAACACGCAAAGGGTCAGTCACCTCTCATCTTCCCCCGTAGAGTAGGGCCGGGAGCGCGGGAGCCAGCCCTGACCGTGGCCTTGGTCGTCGCCACATCCCCACGGGTGGTTTTTAACCCTGGCGTTGGGGTCCTTCCCACGCTCCAGACCTCAAGGCGTCCCTCGGGCCCCGGCTGGCGTGCCCGTCCCGCCCACACGCCCCGGCCCGGGCGCGGGGAGCCGGGATGCACCGCACACACCACTGCCAGCCGTCGCGGCCCTTGCAGATGCTCGCTCGGGGAACCAACTCCTCTCGCAACCCTGCCAGTCAAGAGGGCTGGGGTTGGGCGGGAAGAGGCCGTCTTAGCCTTCAACGCCACCTCCAGGCTCTCCAGACACCTAGTTTAACACTTGGGGCATTTTCTGCCCCAAGAGATTTGACCGGGCTAAATCTCTGTACCCCAGGAGGGCCCTTTTTATTTCACTTATTCAAACAAATGTTTATTGAGCATCTGTTGTGTGCCAGGTACAGAGGATTTGAAGACACGTTAGACCGGCTGACCTTAGGGTGGGGCAGGGAAACTAGGTCGATCAATCCAAAAATTCTCAAGTAATGTTAAGTGCTATGAAGGAAAACATGGAAAAATGATTTGTGAAAGATGCAAGAGTGGGGGGGTAACCCTACTTCAGATGGGGTGTTTAGGGAGGGCTTCCCGGAGGACATTAATTTGGTTGGCACAAAGGGACAAAGGCTGTGAAAGTCTCAAGAGAGGTAAGAGCAGCACAAAGGCACTGCCCTGGCCTGTGGCTGGGCTGGCTGAGGTGTGGACAGAGAGGCCAGCAGCTAAGGGGAGCTGGGGTAGGAACAGGAGTGAGACCAGCAGGGCGCAGACCACACACCGGCTGTGGGGAGACATTTGGATTTTATTCTAAGTGTGATGGGAAGCTGCCCTGTTTCAGCAGGGGTGGGCAGGATCTGATGGGGGCTTGCGGAAAACCTGGCCTCTGTGAAGATCTAGCAACAGGGAGACCCACTTTGAGGCTTTCTCAACTGGACAGACAAGGGGGTCAGGTGGGGCAAGAGCACTGGACTGGGAATCAGACTTGGAGTATAATCCAAACGGCCCGAGTGGGTCCTGCATCTTCTCTGGACCTCAGCTTCTTCATGTAAAATGAGGTTGGGAGGGGGCGGGTACTGCAGGGCAGATGGGACTACAAGACAGGGCTAAGAATCCTCCCATTCAATCCCTTGATGGTCCCAAAGCATTCCTCAAAGGCCACATCTTTCAAGAAAGATTACCTGAAGAGAGTGGAGTAAAAGAAAGGGAACACATTTTCTGAGAGCTATTTATGTCAGGCTCTAGATTAGGCATTGCTTTGGTTGGGCTTTTTTTCTCCTCCCCAGATACATTTTGGAACCTGACTAGGCCCAGGAGTTGGATTCATTTCTAGATTCTCATCATTTGATGCTACACAAGACAGACAAGGTCTTGGAGGCAAGGGGACAGATAGGAAACAAGCAAGTAAAAGCTCACAGAACTAGAGGAAACTTATGAGAAAAGGAATCAGGATGACAGGATTGAGGGAGCTAGTGCAGATGGGGGGGGCTGCCAGGAAAGGGGGCCAGGCAGCAGGATGCCTGGTGCCACAGCTGTGCCCAGCAGAGAGGGCAAGAGCGCCGGGGGATAAAGTCGAAGAGGTCAGCAGGGCCTGAGGGCTGCAGGGCCTGGCAGGGGGCTGCTGGAGGGTCCAAGCTGGACAACAAGAAGCTCTAGTTGGCCTTTTTAAAGCTCCTGTGGCTGCCTCTAAGTGGAAAAAGGACTGGATTGAGCTTGGGGGAGGAGGAGGACATGCCAGAGCCAGGTGGTAGGTGGCTGTCCAAAGTGGCCCGTCTTTGCTACCTGCTACCCAGTGCAGCCATAACGTCCCCACTCTTTGCCGTCCCCCCTCAGATAATGGCAGTTAGGGAGCAGAGTCTAGGTTGAGGCTGTGCCTCATCTCATGAGGGAACTTCCAGGGCATTTGTTAACTCGTTCCTGACCAGTTTCAGGATCCCCAAATGAGACAAGCAAATGAGTATGAAATAAAATTCTGTGAGCCTTGCAAAGATCACAGTAGGTGATCAAAGATTCCACTAGGGTTTTCAAAGGGGTCACAACACTGTGGGGTCCCTGCCCACTCTGCCAGGTGGCTTAGCAGGCTCAGTGCACAACTTTTGAGTTGTGACCCGTGTAGTTCACAACTCTGCGTGACAGGAAACACAAACCTCCCAGCCAGATCTGGGTTTGAATCCCATCTCATTCATTCAACAAATATTTATTGAGGGACTACTATGTGCCAGGCCCTATGCAGCAGTGAGTTAGAAAGGGTCCCTGCTCTAGCGGGGACAACAGGCACGAGACAGGATAATCTCAGAAAGTGATCAGTGGTATAAAGCCAAGTATGAGAAAGTGTCGGTGGTGGGGGCGGGCAATGGGGTAAACAGCAAATGCTTTGCCATCTTTTCCTGGCCCGATATCATTAGGGACATTACCGAACCTCTCTGAAGCCTCAGTTTCCTCATCTGGACAGTGGAGGTAGAAATACACCACCCCCCACCCCCCAACTGCCCAGAATGTTCGATTCCTGGCAAGCATGGTGCCCGGGCTTCATCTGTTGAGCCGGGGGCGGGGGGCACAGGCTGCTCTGCCACCCGTTAGGGCTTTTGGTTCTTCCCCAGGAAGAAAGTTGGTCCACAGACTGAGACTGCTTCTAAGAAAGGGAGATAAAGCCAAGATCCCCTTGCCTGCACCTCAGCCAACAGATCGCACTGCAGCGGCGGCTGAAGCAGGCCTCCAAGGCTAACGGCGTAGGAAGACCTAGGAAGGGGTTTTGTGGATCAGGTTTTGTCCTGGCTGTCTGGGGTCCCCTCCCAGAATGGTTTTTCGACCCCATGCCAGCTCCTCGGGCCTCGGACAGAGACTTCAGGGGAAGAGAGGTCAAGCTCTACTACAGGTCTGAGGCTGGGAGGTGGTTCAGGCATCTCCCACCTCAGGAAACCAAGCCCTGCCGGGCAGGCCCCCTTCAGAGCCAGCACTTCTCTGGTGGGGGGGGTGGGGGTGGCGCAGAGGCGAGGCTGCGGGGTCCCCAAGCCCCAGCCAGGCCAGCTCCCCGCCTTGGAGCCTGTAAGCTGGCCCTGGGGCGGTGGGGGTGGGGTCCAGGACTGTCCCCAAGGAAAGGAATTCCCCTGAAGTCTTCCGGTGGAGAGCTACCCTCCTCTCACCCTGGCCTTGCCTCCCTAACGCTAGGGGTCCAGCTCCTCTGAGCATCTCTCCTCAGTGCCCATCCAAGGGTGAGCCTGGGTGGCGACAACTCTGCAGGGACGGGGCCTGGAGAAGCCTTTTTCCAGCTTTTCCAGGGCTCCTTCCCTCCTTCGAACCCACAAACCCTCATCCAAGTTCTGAGCGCCTCTGCCAGGCCCTGTCTGTGCCGCACATGGGCTGGAGGGCTAGCCAGAGACCCCACTTCTAAGCCCCAAGGGCCCCAAGACGCAGACCCGAGGGCAGCCAGGCAGACAGGCAGGCGGCTGAGGCCTCTGACAGGGATGAAGAATGGGATAGGAAGGTAGAAAAGCTGGCAGAAGGCAGACTGCTGGACCACAGCCCACTGTAGGGGACAGGGGTTTGGCAGGGTGTTGAGGGGGGAGGCCCCGAGGAGTCCTGGCAGCCCCTGAGATGGGGGGGCCCGGGGAGAGCACAAACACACAAGCTGGGGGTTACAGAACATGAAAAGGAAGAAAAATGAACCCCGAGGTCCCAGTGCACCCCTGGGTGGCACTGGCTCGCAGCAACAGGCCCCAGGTGGGGGCACGGGGCAGGGGTGGAGGAAATGGGGGGCGCAGGGGCAGGTTCTGAGGACAACCTGGCCACAGGTCACCAAAAATGAGCAATCCTCTGACAGAGAAACCCCAGTTACGGGATGAATGCCCTAGGCATTTCCGGGCTAGTGAAGAAAGTCCTGGAAACACTTGGGGGCCACTTGAATAAAGCTGGGCCCAGCTGGGGGCCACGGGGCCGGGTTCGCACTTCCCATCTTTGGATTTTAGACCACGAATAACTAATGGGCTTTTAAATGGCGGAAAAGAAGGCCTGGGAAAGGCAGCGTGACTTACAGCAGGGTCTGCCTGGGCCCCCAGCTCCCTTTACCCCGGTTCCCACTCCCTCCCTGCTCGGTCCAGCAGCCTTCATGGCTCTTGGAGAATGGGCTCTTGGAGAAAGAACGGACAGGGAGAGCTGCCTCAATTCTGGAGACAGGTTCAAACCTCCGATCACCCTCAGCAATGTCACCTCGGTGGGCCTTGTCTCTAGGTGTGTGCACGTGGGCCAGCCGTCCCTTCTCCCTTAATGCAATTGAGAATGAAAACAGCACTTGAAGTGGTGTGAGGTCCCACAAGTTCTGGCTTCTTCCCTGATGAGCACTACTTGCTCCATTCTCATACAATGTGTATCCTATCAGAACCCTTTGTGGGGCTCCTGCTTTGCTGGTGCCCTAAGCACAGGCCGTCTGCGCTTAGGAACCAGCCCCGTGGACTTGTTCCATTCTCCCTGTAGAGCTGGAGCCCAGCTCCTCCTTTGGGACGCTCCCGGGCCGGAGGGGCCAGCAGGTTCCCTCCAAGCGAGGCCACTCTGTCCCCACGTTTCGCACCCTTTCAGCCTCAGCATGGACTTGTCCGCTCCTTTGATCCCTGGCCACTTCTCTGGGGTTCCTCAGACCCACCAGCCCTTCAGAGCCCACTGCCCAGCCACAGGGGGCGAGGGGTGAGGGGCGAGGGCCCCTAACAATGTCCCTATTCAGGACACAATACACGTTTGCAACTTGAAGGCAACCCTTCCCACAGTCCTCTGGGTGAATTTCCCTTTGTCTCCCTTAGCACTGGGTGTGGTGCAAAAACAATGAATACTGTTATGCTGAAAAGAAATTTAAAAAAATAATTTGCATATTTTTAAAAAATGCTGAAAAGTACTTAGTGCCTCTCTATATTTTAAATCCCAATACAGTCCAGGCCTAGGATGGAGCCAACCTCTCGGTTTAAAACATGTTTTGGGGAGACAGACTCTTTGGCCTTCAACAGGTTAACAGCCAACGGGGCCTTCCCTGGGGAGGGGCCCTCAGGCAGCAGGGCCTCAGAATCCTGTCCCTGAGGCTGGTAACTCCCACCCAGGCCTTCTGGAAACTCTCCCGCGCAGAGGTGCCTCTGCTGGAGCTCTAGGGTGGACACCCCTTTTACAGATGATAACACTGAGGCTGACGGAAGCACAGAAGCCCGCCTAGAGCCCCAGGGTTCTGCATCCTAGACCCAGACTCTCCACACTCTGCTCGACACCGGGGTCTTTTGTTTTGTGTTTCATTCTCCAGGAAGGCTGTATTCTTGCGGGTCCTCCCTTCTCTTGAGGACATCTCTGTTCAGAAGTCCGGACTTGGGCTGCCGAAGCTGGAGAGCGCTGTACACATCCAACATCTTTTCACAAACTGGGGAACTGAGGGCAGAGTCATTGCGGGGGGAGTGGTGGGTCACACGTGAAGTTTGTGGGAGTGCCGGGGTCCAAGCCCCGCCAGGAACTCCTGCCTCCCAGCTCCCTTTCCTGGAGCGGCAGCTGTGGGCAAACCTGCACTGTCTCCAGGTGGCAGAGGGCAGTAAGCAGGGCGCCAACCAGGTGGGGGTGGGGGGTGTGCCAGGGCTGGGGTGCAGTGGGGAGCAAGGCAGATCCAACTCTGTTCTTAAAGAGTGCCTGGTATACACATAAACAGACCGGGTGCCTGGGTGGCTCAGTGGGTTAAGCCTCTGCCTTTGGCTCAGATCATGATCTCAGGGTCCTGGAATGGAGTCCCGAATTGGGCTCTCTGCTCAGCAGGGAGCCTGCTTCCTCCTCTCTCTCTCTGCCTGCCTCTCTGCTTACTTGTGATCTCTCTCTGCCAAATAAATAAATAAAAATCTAAAAAAAAAAATATTTTAAACAGACCAAATGGGGTCCGGTGATGATAAGTGCTATGAAGAAAATCAAGCAGGATGATGTGATACAGGAATTCTCCAGAGGTATTCATTCAGCCAGGCTGGCTAGGCGGCGGCTACCCTGAAGAGGCTCTCAAGGACTGAGATGGGAATAACTGCTGTCAGCCACATAGCAAGTGCAAAGGCCCTGTGGTGGAACAAGCCCCCCCTACCCCAGCGGTCTGTGTGAGGAACAAAAAGGCCAATGTGGCTGAGTGTAGACACATCCTAGTGTGATAAGAAGCTGCCTGAGGCCCTTGGGCAGAGGGGGGATGCAGGAAGTCATACTTCTGTGTTAGCGGCTCCATCTGCTGCTGCTGCTGCTGCTGTGTGGAGAGGCCTGGAGAGCCCAAAGTGGAAGGGTGGAGAACTCCAGGGCTTGGGGAGGAACCTGTTTGGGAATAGAGGAGACAGGAATCTATAGGTTGAATGAGAGGGTAGAGGGAAAAAGAAATAGAGGCCAAGCCTATGCTTTGAGGCTAGAATTGTCTGTGAAACCTTAGGGAGGAGCAGGTTTGCAAGAGAAAACAGAGGCCTGTTTTGGCCTCCTCCTGGAGAGAGCTATGCCTGGACATCCCAGTAGAGTTGGCGGCTGGCAGGCGGTCTGTTGGGTCAGGAGAGAGACAGGAATGAGGGCTGACAAACGGGGTGTCATCGGTGTCTAGATGGTGTCTGGAGCCACAGGACTGAAGGAGGAGAAGCTCACTAAGGAGGAAGGACCCACCTACCCACCCTGATTCTGTACTGCCCCTCTCCCACTTAACTCCCAAGACTGGCCCAGCCGGAGGGCTGATGTGGGAGGGGCTCGTCTCTGCTAGGCCCTGGCCACTTCTGATGTTTCTTTGTCCATCATTTTTCCTTAGTTACTTGAGGCCTTCCCCGTCTACATTTCCTTAGAGGGGTCACAGCAGGGCTACCTGGGAGTGTGGGCTCTGAGAAGCATCCCTGAAGGCTGGCAGGACCCCAGGCCTAGAATCCTGGCTAATTGGATGAAGCCACTATCCTCCATCCCCCAAGCCTGTGGTCTCCTCTGTATCATCAGGCGAGTGGGATGAAACCTAGGGTGAATCTTCAGTTGTTTTTTTTTTTTTTTTTTTTTAAGGAAAGCTGAGATCTGGACACATTTTTATCTGAAATCGGCTGATTTTTCAATCCTGGACCTAATTTAGTTGTTTTGTTTTTGTTTTTAAAACACTGGGCAAGTGGGGCCTGGATGGCTCAGTGGGTTAAAGCCTCTGCCTTCGGCTCAGGTCATGATCCCAGGGGGATCGAGCCCCACGTCGGGCTGTCTGCTCAGCGGGGAGCCTGCTTCCTACTCTCTCTGTCTCAGCCTGCCTCTCTGCCTACTTGTGATCTCTGTCAAATAAAAAAATAATAATAATAAATAAAATAAGATAAAATAAAATAAAAATAAAACACTGGGCAAGGGGCACCTGGGTGGCTCAGTTGGTTAAGCGACTGCCTTCCACTCCAGTCATGATCCCGGGGTTCTGGGGATCGAGCCCCGCATGGGCTCCCTGCTGAGTGGAAAGCCTTCTTTTCCATTTCCCTCTGCCTGCTTCTCTGCCTACTTGTGCTCTCTATCTCTCTGCCAATAAATATATAAAAAAATCTTTAAACACACACACCAAAACACTGGGCAAAAAAACAGGCAGATTCCAGCCAGAGGGGCTTAGAGGCTGGAGACTTGCCAGTCTCTCCAGCTCTGCTGAACCTGTCCATTCTGCTGATCGATAAGATTGATCCACTTTCTGAATGGGCTGCACTGTAACAGGCCAGCCCTTCTTTCTTGAAACTCTCTCCTCCTTAGCTTCCATGACACCAGCCACCACTGGTTCCCTCCTTCCTCTCTGACCATTCTTCCCCTGTCTCCCATGGAGCACCCCTCCCTTTCCTACCACTTCCACATCCTCCTCTTCCCTGCACAAGGACCCCGGGGAAGACATCCCTGACCCAGGCTGCTGCTGCCACCAACTCTCCAGATTCACATTTCCAGCGACCTTCTCTCCTGGATGGTTGGGCAAACAGCAGTCTGGGGGTGCCCCTGCTGGCCAGGCTGGGGTACCAGCAAGGGCATCACCCTCTACTCTTTCTCTGACCCTTCAGAGACCAAGCTGGAGCCCCTCCAGGCCAGTCACTGGGCTGCCTCCCCCTGCAGCTGGTCCCCTGGGGCCAGCTCTCTTCCTGGTGTTCCTGTTCCAGCCCCAGCTCTGAGCACCCTGGTCCACCATGCTAGGGGGTCGCCATACCCACCTCCGTGCCCTCTGCTCCGTCTTGGGTGGCTTCGGCTCCTGGATGGACACTCCTCCATCTCTCTCTCTCACTGCATTATGCCTCTGCATTTCCGGAACCTGTGATTTTTCACTCAGGCCATGCCCTCTCTGCAAGACCTTTTTGCTCCCCAGGCGCGCCCCGGGGCTCAGCCAGCACTGCTTTCAGAAACCCACCCGTCTCTGCTAGGAGACTCCTAATGGTCTTTTCTCGCCTTGGCTGAGGTCTTAGGCTGGCCAAGTTTCCCCAGCTTGACAGACAGTTCACTTGGGTATGTGTGTGTGTGTGGGGGGGGTGTCCTCCTTCCTGGGAGAGGGACTTGGCCTTCTTTGCAGGGACCTGGGCTTATCTTCCTCCTCCTCTGGGCTGTATTCACTGCCCTGGGAGATGAGCCCTCCTCTGGGTCAATGCCACTGATCATTGATCACCCCCCACTGCAAAGAAACCCCATTCCGTCTCACCTTTCCCAGCCTCAATTTCCTCCTCTCCGGGGCCTTATTCACTAATTTGTCTGAGGGGCCAATGGGGTCTGTGCCTGCTCTGGGAAAAGGGTGCGTGTGGACAGGGGCCTCTTGGGAGAGAAGGCTTCACCCTTCCTGGATTTCACGGCTTCCAGCTCTCTCTCCCCAGAAACCCCAATTTTCTACCGTCCCTGTCCCATCCATCCCTCCATGCTCGGGCCTAAAAACCACTTACTCCCAAGGGATCCGCTCTCCTCCCGGGGTGTCTCCCCATGGTCTCAGCTTCCCCAAGTAGAGGCTTCTTCGGCTTCGAGAAAGGCTGTTCGGCGCCGCCTCGGCAGTAGTTACGCTGCAGCCCGACCGGCTCAGAGCCGCAGACTTGCACAAGCCCCTGCGGAGGACTTCGCCAGGCGGCGAGAGGGAGGGGGGCTAGAAGAGGAGTCTCCAGGACCCGCTCTCCATCGCCCTTCCCCCACGACAGGGGGAGGGGTGTGGCCGCAGCACCTCCCCTCCCCCATCCTGTCCGAGGACTCCTTCGGGGGTCACAGCCTGTCACTCGCTCCACTAGCTCCACCGTGGAACCGCCATTTGGCTCTGGGGCGAACGGTGGCGGCTACTTGCGCACCATAAAATGGGGCACTTGGAGCATCAGCGCCAGTTTGGCGGGGACGGAGGGCGGGGGGGGGCGGTTTGGAAATATCCGTAGAGAGACACCTGCGGTCGTCCCCCACTTCCTCCCGGGCGGGGCTCAGACCCCCGAGGCATAACAAGACCCCGGGCGCGCAGCCGGAGGGCGCCTCCAGCCGCCATCCCCTCGGACTCGGGTGGAGATCCCCCTCGAAGATGTCCTAGCACATTTCACATTGCCCCAGCCGACCACGTGAGGGCGTGCCCTGTGTTAGTTCGGACAAATTAAATCTCGTCCTGCGGGCAGGCCGGGGGCCCCCAGACCGCGCTCAGGGCTTGGGTGGCTGTGGCGCACTCTTGGCTGCCGGCCGCAAAGCTCCGGGCCGCGTGGCCTCCCCCGGGGCCCTCGCTATTTGCCCCCAAACCGGGTGCCCCCCTCCTCTCGCGCTCCCGCAGCATAGGGTGCACCCCTCCGTTCCCCTCTGCTGAGCCCTTCCCGGGCGCAGGCCGTCTCTCCGTTGCGCCGCAGGCTCGGTCCCTGTCCAGGGCGCTCGGCCGAGGGTTTGGTGGTGCCCGGGGGGCGCGATGCGGGAAGCCAGCGGCCGAGGAAGGTGCTCCAAGAAGCACAAGTTGGCGCTGGCTCCAGACCAGGCTGTTGTTGTTCTCAACGTGGTCCGCCATGGAGCTATAAAAGGGGAGCGGAGCGCCCTCTTCACCAGAGCGCAGCGCGCACGCCCAGCGAGCTCCGGCGACGGCAGCGGCAGCGCAGCGGTAGCGGTAGCGGTAGCGGCAGCCGCGGCGCTCCCTTGGCGGATCTCTCCGCTCCGGCCGGGTCCCGGCTCCGGCCCTCTCCGCCCCGACACCCCCCTCCGCTCCGGCCCCGGCTCCGGCCCGGGACCTCCTGCTCCGGCCGGCCCGGCCCCCGCCCCAGCCCTGCCGCCCGGCCCCAGGCCTGGCCGCGGCCGCTCCCGCCTGGAGCCGCCGCGCGCCCCCAGTCCCCCGGCGCCCCCTCGGCCCCTCGCCTTCCTCTTCCCGGCGCGGCCCCCGGGCTTTCGCGCCCCGCCCGCCACCAACCCGCTCGCCACCATGTCTGTGGAGCTGGAGGAGGCCCTGCCGCTGACGACCGCCGAGGGGCCGGCCAAGAAGGCGGCCAAGGCTGGCAGCTCGGCGGCGCTGTCCCCGTCGAAGAAGAAAAAGAACAACAAGAAGAAGAACCAGCCGGGCAAGTACAGCCAGCTGGTGGTGGAGACCATCCGCAGGCTGGGCGAGCGCAACGGCTCGTCGCTGGCCAAGATCTACGCGGAGGCCAAGAAGGTGGCGTGGTTCGACCAGCAGAATGGGCGCACCTACCTCAAGTACTCCATCAAGGCGCTGGTGCAGAACGACACGCTCCTGCAGGTGAAGGGCACCGGCGCCAACGGCTCGTTCAAGCTCAACCGTAAGAAGTTGGAGGGCGGCGGCGAGCGGCGCGGAGCCACGGCGGCCGCCACCGCCCCAGCGCCCACCGCGCACAAGGCCAAGAAGGCGGCCCCGGGCGCTGCCAGCCCCCGGCGCGCGGACAAGAAACCGACCAAGGGCCAGAAGCCCGAGAAGCGCTCGCACAAGAAGGGCGCCGCCTCCAAGAAGGACAAAGGCAGCAAGGCTAAGAAGGCGGCGGCCGCCGGGGGCAAGAAGGTGAAGAAGGCGGCCAAGCCCAGCGTCCCCAAGGTGCCCAAGGGCCGCAAGTGAGCGCGCCAGCCTGCCGGGTCTTTCGGTTTTTCTACCCCGAGTGTATGTAGGTTTTGTACGGTTGTCCGGCCCGGCCGCCGCCGCCCCTGCTCTGAGCCGCACGGAGGGCCCCGGGCCCGCTCCATCCTCTACTAGGCCCTCCCTCCCCCGCCGCTGTAGCGTGTATTTTTTTTTGTTGTTGCTTTTGCTTTAGATTTTTGAAACGGCCTGGCGACGCCCCTATTGGCTCTCGCCCTTGGCAACGGCCGTCGCCATGGCTACCGGCCCCTAGGCGCCAATGGCCGCGGCCGCGCCTGCCTGCCTGGGCGGGGGCCGCGGGGTGGCCAGGCCCTGGTGAGCAGGGACCCGGCCGCCGCGCCGCCCTTCCCCATTCCCCACCCTCCGCCTTTGGGTGCGCGACAAACAATCGCTCGGGGCGCGGGCCGCGCGGCCTTCCTTCATCCTGCCGGCCTTTTTGGGGCACAATAAATTGTTTAAACCTTTGAACCGCTCTCGTTTTCTTCCGAGTGGAGTAGGGCTGGGCGCGGTCGGCGCGCGGCTTGGGTTGGATAGGGTCCCAAGGGTCCAGGGGACCCCGGATGTTAGCGAGGTAGGCCTGGAGCTTGGAGTTCCCCGCGCGGGAGTGGTAACTGCGGGGGAGGGGGGGGGTCGGCTGATCCCAGAGGGACCCTCGAGGGACCAACCGATCTCTCTCTCTGTGAGCAGAGGTGGAAAGATGCTGGAGGTCCCTGGTGGGGGTGGCGGTTGGGTGGGGGCGCAGCCCTGGCTTTTTTCGGGGTTTGTTGAGCAGAGCCCCTCAGCACGTACAAGGTCACACCAGGCTGGGCCTAGGCAGAGGTTAGTTATTCGGGATTCACTGAGACTTTGTGTTGATGCGACAACGATATTGGAAATGTAGAGGCCTTGGGCTCTGGCTCACTGAGCACAGACCGAGGTGTGGCCTGAGCAAGGCATTGATCCTCTGCTTGTTGGCTGATCTGAAGTGCACACGGGACCAGAGGGTTATTGGACAAGTTGGGTAGAATGATCCTCTGCCCTGAGACACCCTGGGGTTCAGTATATGTGACAGTTGTACTTAAGAGCAAGTGAGCCTTTGATGGATGTTCCTATGAAGACAGCCCTATAAAAGGAAGGCTCTGGGGCAGTGGGAAGCTAGGGAATGCTCTAGAACAGTGGGTATGTACATGTACTAAGCTAGGTAAGCCTGGGCTAGGGGTCAGTGACAGATGGGAGATGATCTCTCTTAGAGACTACAGGTGGTGGGGGAAGGGCACTAGGGGAGGGGAGGGGAGGGAGCATCACTGGAGAAGCCCCTCTGGCCTGCCCTATCCCTGACCCAGGCCCGGCAGCCACTATCCTGCCCCAGCACAAAGAGTGAGGTCACAGGGCAAACCCTTCAGCCACCTACCACCCTGCAGACCCTTGGGGCAAGTGGTCACTCTACATGCTCTTTCAGTTTTTTAAAATCTTGGCTGGGTCTCCCTGCTGCCCATTGCCTCCTGCCTCTGGGAACTGCAGGGCCCAGTGCCAGCATGAGTCTCCCCCGCCTTGTCCTGGACTGGGCTGTGAGGGAGGACACGATGGTGGGCACAACCAGCATAGGTGCCTGCCCCGCCCAAGCTTCCCTGCCAGTGGAGAAGGAAGCCAAGTTCCTCTGCCCATCATTGTTCTCTAGGCAGAAGGTTTGAGAACAAGATGAACCACCTCCCCACCTCCCAAGTATGGAGACCTGTGACTGATGGCAGTTAGGGGGCCCTGTCATTAGGGCCAAGGACGAAATGGGATGCTAGCCTTGGCTGCGACTATTTTGGTACTGGGCAACTGTGGGCATCCCGGGGGTAGGCAGGAGATCTAGGTTGGAGACCGCAGGACCATGGTGGGTCAGGCCTGACCGCTGCACCCACCCTGCCAGTCCAGGTCTGGCCACTTGCTGATCAGTACCAGTTTCAGCTACTGGCAGTGTGCGGGGTTGGGGGGATGCCCAGTGCCATGCTGCAGGGCCATTGTGCCAGCCCAGCTCCTGTACGCAGGGCCAGCTAATAGGACATCAGCAGCTAGAAGTCAGGAGAGGCCGAGGCCTACCCAGGATTAGAGGGGATGGTGCTCCTGACCAGCTGAACGTGATCCCTCAGATTCCACCCCCTTTCCCCAAATTGGAAACCCAAGCCCAGATGCCACGTAGGCTCACCCCAGTGGTCTAAGTCACAGTCCTGAGGCCCGGACCCAGACCTTGGCTTTTTGCTCAGCTCCCTGGTGACTCAGGTTCCAACAGGGTTCAGAAGGGCTGCTACGGGGGGCCCAGGCACATGGACCCTGCACTTTCTGTGCAATGATCACACTGGGCACCCTCCCTTCCTCTGAGCCCTCCTAACCAGAGGCCCCCACCGCCGACCATCCGTCCTTTGTGGATATCTCATGAGCTCCAAGACCCCAAAGTGTCCTTCAGGTCCTTTGTATTCCACACTGCCTTTCCCTATTTCCCACCCAAATCCACCCTTCGTTGCTCATATCATCTGGTTCTCCCAGTGGCCTCCCACTTTGATGCTGCTGCCCCCACCACTCTCCTGTCTTCTGTCTCCATCCCTTGCACACTTGGGCCCCTGGCTTGCTGTCTTCTCTATCCTGAGACCTGCCTTTTCCAGGAGCTGGGAGCACCTGTGGACCAGCTCCCCGTGGGGCAGGCCTCTCTCTTCTGTTAATGAAGAACACTGTCATATTTTTCTGGGGACATAAGCCACCCTACTCTCAGGCCACCTGGTTCTGGGGATTTGACTGTCTAGTCCCAGGGAGGTTTATGTGACTGAAGACCCGGCCAATGAGTGTTCAGTTGTTCACTGTGCCACAACCTCTGGGTCAGAAATGGTTCTTGACCCCAGTGAGTTCAATCAGAGTCAATCCTGGGACTCTTCCTGGGCCTTCTGGGAAAGAGGTGCTCTTTCCCCCAGGTAGGGACAGGGAGCCAGAGTTGCCAGTAGCCATCTTTGTCAATACACAGGGAAAGCCCACCTGAAAAAGGAGCCAGAAGAGAAAGCTGGACCCACGAAATGGACAGACACCTGAGAACATGAACAGAGCCTCTGGATCTAGCCATGCCTGAAAAAAGTTTCGACTTGACTGCCACGTGAGCTGATACATTGCTTTTTACGTTGGCTCACGTGAATTGGTTTTTGTCACTTGCAGTCTAGTCTCTCACTGCTTTGACTCACTTTACCCTCCTGTGCTCACATCCTGGACCCTGTCATTCCTTTAAATTGTTCTTCTTCTGAAAGGACTTTCCCAGTGTCCCACTGTTTACCCACCCACCCCTCCCCTCCTTTCTTCTCGGGGTGCTCACTAGACCCTTCGGTAGAGCTGCACCTCTGCATGGGGCTCACGTCACTGACCTGCACCCCAAGTTGAAGAAAGGATGGCCACGTCCTGCCCCACGTAAACCCTCGGCGTGTGCCAGGCACTCTGAGGAAGGCTGCGTGGGCCACAGCTCAGCCTCGTGACAGCCCCAGTGAGGAGGGGGTTCAAAAGCTGGTCTTAAAGGTTTGGTGCTGAGACTGGGAAGGCTGTTATTTTCTGCCCTGACCCCACACTCAGCTCTGGCACAGGGCCGGGGAGCCCAGGACCTGCTGTCGACCTCTTATGTCTCTTAGACCTCACTGAGGAGCTTCAATCCCAGGTGAATGCTGGGGGCACAGGACACCGCGAGGCTCTGGAGGAGTGCTTCCTGGGGCAGCAGACTCTGGCGCCGGGAGGAAGCAAAGAAACACGTGTATTTGCTTCTCTGTACAATAGGGGCCCAGCAGTGGCCTCAGCCTAGGCTCCTCTCTGCACCCCTTGATCAGGAGAGGAGGGGCGTTGGATGGGACCAGGTCTCTGGAGGCTGCAAGTCAGCAATCCAGGGGTCTGGTCCACCATGTCTTTTGGTTTGGGTAAGATTATTCTTCCCATTTCTCCACTTCCTTATCTATAAATCGAGCCAAGAAAGATTTCTTTTACTCATCCATCAGCTAACCAAGAGGGTAGGAACACACTGCCTCCAGTCAGGGTCTCTAGGTACCCCTCACCCCAGCCCCAGTGTAGCACACTCTCCTCCTGTGCCCTTGCCTCCCTCCTCTCACGGGGCTGGGATCGGCCTCATCTACCTCCTGGGTCCCTAGGTCTGACTTCTCCCTGGCCCCAGGACAGCCCTGAAGACACCGGAAAGGCCCCTTTCCAGGCTCTGCAAGCCTGCGTGACCCATATGATGGTGTCTCCAGCGAGTGGACTCTTGTAGACGAACCCAGCTGAACCTGTCCCTCTGCCAGGTCCAGGCTTAGCCCCGAGCACAGAACGTGATGGGGGAGGGGTCTCGAGGGCTCAGCACAAGGGGTGCTGCCATCCCTCTGTCCCAGGACTAGAACCTTGGTTGATATACCCAGAGGGCCCTTTGGCCATTCAGGGAGCTCCATTTGTCAAAAGAGGCCGCAAAGAGGCCCTGGGGCCTCTACTGGAGCCACTCACACCTGCAAATGGGTGCACTGATCCTTGCATGAGATCTCGTGTGTCGCCTAGTCCACAGTCACTCCTTCAGGGCACACTGGCTGAACAGAGGCAGGGACGGGGACCAATCAGACTTGCTTCCTGTTCTTGAGGACGGGGAAGCCAGCGGTTGTGGCCTGGGGACAGTCCAGGCTGGAGCACTAGCATAGGCCCCCAGTGTGGCAAAAACTCCCAAGTCTGGGGAGTGGTGAATGTGACAAGCGGACTGAGCCGGCAGGAGGCAGGAAGAGTGAGCAGGGCTTCGGGCTCCCCTCTAAGAGTTCAGTGGAGAAGCAGACCCAGAGGGGGATTAGGGACACACGCTCCTAAACATTGGATTGATCGCAGGGCTGAGGAACCAGATTCCATAAGGCTGAATTTCTCTGACTGACGCTGGAGCCTGCAGTGAGTGCCCAGACAGGACGGGAAGATAACAAGCAGGCCAAAACGGCACAAGCTGGAGCCCTAGGACAGACTGAAACTTGGGCTGGTTCTTGTTGCCTCTGACCTTGGTGTTGAGGGTGTCCCGCAGAAGCTGGGACCCTGGGGCACCTGGGTGGCTCAGTGGGTTGAGCCGCTGCCTTCAGCTCAGGTCATGATCTCAGGGTCCTGGGATCGAGTCCCGCATCGGGCTCTCTGCTCAGCAAGAAGCCTGCTTGCTTCCCTCTCTCTCTCTGCCTGACTCTCCGTCTACTTGTGATCTCTGTCTGTCAAATAAATAAATAAAATCTTTAAAAAAAAAAAAAAAGAAGCTGGGACCCTTCGTTATAGACTTAATCATGCACACACCTGAGTCAGCAAAACTGAGAGAGAATCCAGGGTAAGTCCGTAATCAGTGCGGCTTCATACTGAGGAGGTAAGTCACCCGATCAGCAACCAGAATGGTGACTTCCTCCCAAATCTGGCAAATGTGGCCCACCCTACAGGAAACGTATGAATAAGGGTGTCATGGGAAATGTAGTTCAGCCTAGCCAAGTTGACACACTACAAAACCGTCGCAGTTCCCCGTTATAAAACAGGCATGTGTGGAAGGGTGAGGAGGAATGAGACTGTCTCAAACACAGAGGTGCATAGGCACATGCCAGACGGGGCAGTCTGGCCAACTGGAGGACACAGACCCCACCTGAAGAGGGGCAGTGACAACCAGTTCTGCTGACTGCTTCCCGTTTCTCAGACCATGTCAGAAGCACCTTCTGAAAATGCATCTACTTTCCCCTCCAGAGGCAGGGAGTGGCTTGGGCCATCCAGGGGTGCCTCTGCCTGCTGGTGGTCCCACATGGGGCTCAGTCATCAGAAGCACCTCTTGAGAATCTTTTTTATAGAGAAACCATATGCTTTTTCTGGTGAAACCTCCCACTTGTAAAATGTGGGCTTAAAACAAGAAGTACTCCACCTCACAACCATCAGGACAACCACTATTAAAAAAAAGCAACAAGTGGTGGCAAGAATGCAGAGGAATTGGAAGTCTGTATACTGCCAGTGGGAATGTGAGATGGTGCAGCTGCTGGAGAAACTGTATGGAGGTGGTGGTGGCTCAGTGGATTAAAACCTCTGCCTTCCACTCAGGTCATGATCCCAGGACCCTGGGATCAAGCCCTGCCTCGGGCTCTCTGCTCAGCAGGGGGCCTGCTTCCCTTCCTTTCTCTCTGCCTACTTGTGATCTCTGTCTGTCAAAATAAATAAAAATCTTTATTTTTTTTTTCTAAATTTATTTGACAGAGATCACAAGTAGGCAGAGAGGCAGGCAGAGAGAGAGAGGAAGGGAAGCAAGCTCCCTGCCGCGCAGAGAGCCCGATGTGGGACTCGATCCCAGATCCCTGGGATCATGACCTGAGCCGAAGGCAAAGGCTTTAACCCACTGAGCCACCCAGGTGCCCCTAAAATCTTTAAAAAATAAATTAAACAGAGAATGATATCACCCAGGAATTTTATTTTTGGGCACATGCCTGAAAGAATTAAAAGTATCAACTCAAAGAGATTTGTCTACCCAGCATTATTCACAGTAGCCGAGAGGTGGAAGCACCACACATATCCATGGACAGGCGAATGGATAAACAAAGTGTGGCATATCCATATGATGGAGGATCATCTAGTCTTAAAAAGGGAAGAAAGTCTGACACATGCTATAACATGGACGAAGCTTGAGGACGTGTTGCTAAATGCAATAAACCAGCCAGAAAAAGACAAATACTGTATGATCCCATTTACAGGGTTTGGAGGTAGACAGAAATGGGATTTGTTTAATGGGGACAGAATTTTATTTTATTTTATTTTTTTAAAGATTTTATTTATTTCTTTGACAGAGACAGATCACAAGTAGGCACAGAGGCAGGCAGAGAGAGGAGGAAGCAGGCTCCCTGCTGAGCAGAGAGCCTGATGTGGGACTGGCTCCCAGAACCCTAAGATCATGACCTGAGCTGAAGGCAGAAGCTTTAACCCACTGAGCCACCCAGGCGCCCCTGGGGACAGAATTTTAGTTTTGCAAGATGAAAACATTCTAAAGATTGGCTACACAACAATGTGAGTATACGGAATGCTACAGAACCGTGTACTTAAAAATGGGTAAGATGGCAAATTTTATGTCATGTGTATTTTATCACAATCGAAAACAAATACTACATCAGCCAAACAAAATCCTATCTGAGCTCAGTGTGGGCCACAGCTCCCCACCTTTTGAGATCATTCAACTTCATCTTCTATGAGGGTCCTTCTGGCTGCCTTCCAAGACATGAAGCCCCAAATGGTGGTGTCCTGATGGAAAGAAACGAAGCCAAAGGAAGCTATAAAGTGGTGAAAGCTAAGACCCAGCCTGCCAGTACTGTGGGCCTGCACCAGGGTAACAACCTCTCCACAGAGGATTTTCATTCCGACTCCTGGGCCTTACGCAGCATAGCCTGCAGATACAAGATTCCAGATGCCCCTTTTCTCGCCCACTTAACCTTGCCACTCCTACCTCCTTTCTTCTGCCAGGATGCCAGGAGTGTGGCATTGGGGCCCTGCCCCAGCCTGACTGCCCTTGAAACTTTTTGTGTTGTTCAGCTTGATTGTCCAATCCCTTTCACTGACACCCCTAGCTCCTGCAAATAGTCCTCCAGCTTCTGTGGCCCAGGGGAGTGCTGCCTCGGGAAGTCTGCAGGATGCCTCTCCTCCCTGGAGTCCTGGACACAAGAGGGAGATCCTCATTTATCTCCACACGAGGGGCACTAGCCTAGAGGTAGGTAGGTTCCAGTCTCCCCACAACGAGCATCTGTTTCTCTGGGCTCCCAGGAGTTCAACTGTGAGTCCCCACTCTCCTGATTCACAGATGGGCAAACCAAGTCTCCGGGGTGCCAAAAGACTTGGTCCTTTGTACTGGGTTCTTTGTACTTGGTCTTGTACTGGGGACCCTCTCCTACAGCCTGGGCCAAAGCTCCTTTCCGCAAGGAATGATCTTCCACCCTTCCTACCACTTGTTTCTTGCTCTGGCTGAGGAAAGGGAGGGAGGGTGTTCAGACCCAGGTAGGGGATCTGGATCTAGGAGTCCGAGGCCACCCATTACTCTCTGGTTCCCACCACCAATCTACCCTCTGGGTGTTCCCAGTAGCGAACAGACTTTAAACTTAAATACTCTGCCCAGGCTAGGAACCCTTTAGATTTGTCCTGGACTTAATTAATGCCTATGGGTTGTGTCCTTGGCCAAGCCCCTCCCTTGCCTGAGTCTGTTTGGCTTCTGGTACATTGGGCTTTAAGAACAACGGCTTTGCACTAGGAGATGGATCTAGATGGATCTAGATGGATGCCAACAGGAGCGGGGCTGGGGGGGATGGGGGGAGCAGGGTGGGCATGGGTGAAGATACCTATTAGGACCTGGAGTACTGAGGACCCTCTGCCACTTCTAAGGCTACAGAGGAGGGAAGAATCCCCTAAGGCCTGGACCTAAGCCTGGTAGAGTGGGGCAAGGGGGGGCTGCCATCTGGAAGACCGTCACCAAAGGGCGAGACACCCACAGTTTAGGGCTGTCCCACCTGCCAAGAGAAACAGCTGGGGACTTGGCCTGACCTGGCTACACTGAATGGCAGGTGAAGGCCGCCTTTGTGTCCCTCAGATTTGTTCTTTAAAAACAAAGGACAGAAAAAAAAAAAAATTAAAAACAAAGGATAGGAGATGCTTCACTACTCTAGTAAGCAAGCTAAGTATTGTCAAAAGGTGGGATTCGTGTGCCCCTGAAATAAGTGAAAATTTGGAGAGCAATTTGGCAATACCTAGTACAGCTGATAACCTAGTTAAGAAAAAAAAAAAATCGCAGAACAAGACGCCAAAGATGATACCATTTATGTAAACCCGAGAATCACAAAACATGTTCTCAGGTACAAGAATGTGCTCTTAGCGTCATTTATGTTCAAGTAAAACCTGAATGAAAAGGATGAGGACATCCTATCCTTCCATGTTAAAATGAAAGTCCCCACCACAGTGATTTACAACCCTGACAAATGGTGGAGAGATAGTAATGAAAAACAAAGGCAATTTCATTTTTGTTGCTTATTAAATTTGAAGCAAATATGGCAAAATAGTCTTAAGAGTCAACCTTCTGGTAAGTTATCCGTATTTTTAAATCTCTTGGTGATACTAACAACCAAAACCCCACGCGAATCAGCCCAAACAAAACTGGAGGCTGCAGCGAAAACGCCCCCTCCTTTCAGGGTGCGGGGAGCCGGAGTGCTAACCATCCCAGACCAACCCCGCCCCTCAGCCGGAAGGGAGGGCGCTCCAAAGAGGAATTTGGAGAGCAGGGCCAGGCAGGCCACAGCCGTGGTCCACGTCTGCCGTGGTCCATGTCCAGGAGATCCTAGGGGGGCTCCGGGCCCCGCCCCCCCAGCGCCTCCCGCCTCCCGAGGCACCAGCCAGGAGGCGTGCCGTGCCTTCCCATTAGCAGGAAGAGCGCCAGAGCTCCCTTCTGATTGGTGGAAATTGCGATCCTTGATTTGCATAGGGTTTAGGCCCGCGCCCCCGACTACCGCGGGCTGCAACTGCACAGGCAGCCGGATCACAGTGGGCGGCCAACCACGCAAGGAGCACTGGGGGCTTGCTCCGCGCCGGCCCACTTCCGCCCAGAACTCCGTGCACGGTTTGGGGTCCTGGTCTCCTAGACGCCCCAAAGAGGAAGTTGCAGAACGGTCCTGGAGCTTCTGGAGATTCTTCTGTTCCCCACCCTGGGATCCATGGGAAGTCCCCTCCTGTCTCACCAGTGCCCGGTGTGCTCTCCCCGCGGCTTGTGCACCCTCTCTTCCCCAAGGCTTGCAGGAACCTTTCTGGAACCCCTAACGAAGGCGCCCCTGGCTCTATGTCTTCGGGGTGCGCACACGCGCACACACACTTGCCAGTTGTAGTCGTTTGTGTTAATGAGGGTCGCTCCTTGCCCTGTACAGGGCGGGGCATGTAGTAAGTGCTCGCATTCACCTAACAAGTTAATTACGCATCATTAACATTGGGAGAAAATAACGGGTGAAAAAGCGGCCCCTGCTTTCAGAGAGCTAATGAGCTGGGTGGGGAGGGGACAATAGATAACCGTTTCAAATAACTATAAAGTGGTTCAGTGCCAAGGAGGAGCCTGCAGAGCAAATCACAGGGGCTCTGATGAGGCGGGGCAGATGATCAGCCCTCTAAGCAACCCTGCTCCGAGCCCCAAGTCCACGTCACCCTCTGTGCCCTGCTCTGCCCAGAGGCTGGGAATCTGGATGGGGTTTGGTGGGCTGTGACTGGGGCTTCTCCTCAACCAGATCTTATGGTCTCCGTGGTCAGTACAGGGTCTTGGCCTCTGTGCCCCATCACCCCCCCCCACACCCCCGGCCCTGCCTCACATCCCTAGTCTCATGTTGGAGCAAGC